CATGAGTGAGTTCACCAACCTATGTGTGGAAGTGTTCATCGTTCCCGCTCTATTACAGACAGTCGTGCATGGGTGCAGTGGCGGCGACCGTCCCGCAATTTATGAATAATACATGTAGCTGCGGCTAAATGCCAGTCATGCACAAGGAGGTGACAACAGATGGTGCAGCATTTTTGGGCTGCAACCTATTAAAAGCGTGCACAATGCTTAAGGCAGTGCTGCAGCAGACACAACGCCGAATAGATAAGATGCTTATCGTGACAAGGTTGTCAGCAATAACTCATACTGGTGCATTTGTATGTGGTTGCTCTCTCAGTTTCCTTCTATCCTAATGCTTATTGGCAAAGGCACAGCCGCAACTGAATCAAAGTTGGGAGGCCTTTTGCAGCACATTGTTGCTTTGGCCACACAGAGTCAAGAGGTGTAGCTAACCTTTCTAGGACAAAACGTCATCGCGGTAAGCTCTATGTGATAGCTATAGGACAATCTATTACAGCTTAAGAAGTGAGCGAGAACATTAGGCTCCGCAATAAGTAGTAAGGGATCTGTTGCAACTAATTTTTAGCTGTTAATGCATTTGAAGCGGGTACACATTGTATTGCTAAGGTTCTACTGTAGTCTCTGCTCGATAATTCAATCATTCCAATGAACTCACATCACCATCACTCGATGATATTTAAAAAAGCTGACATTTCTGCTCTGTTTTTATGACCACATGCCTGTTTGACAATTAAAACAAGCACATGGTACAGTACTTTACTCAACTAACCCCCCAACCCTCCCCGACTAATGCACATCAAGAAAATAAACGAAGGAAAAAATACGCACAAGCACATTCTACAATGGAAAATTTATTGTACATGAAAATTTGGTGACGATTGATGTCTGTGAAACAAATTTTTTTTATTCGATATTCAGCTTTTCTCCTTAGTTCGATTCTGTATTCAATTCGAAAAGCAACTATGTTCGGTATTCGTACATCCTTAATGAATAGTGTTCAACAAGCTTTAACACAAAAAAAAGAATGCCTGAGGCCATGACACTCGGCAACCCTGCAACTTCTATTTTATACTTGACATATTGAAAAATTTTCCCAACAGCAGTTTTTGGGAGCAAGGCAATCCAAAAGTGAGGTAATTTTCTATTGTAAACTTTAAAAGGTGTTGAAGGGACCTTTAAAAGTTGCCATGACAACCAATCTGAATTTTGATTTTTTTATATTGCAGTTGAACAGTTGCACATCACGTCTACAGCAAAACTTCTCGTAGTAATGAAAGCCAATATACTGAAGGCCATGCTTTTGAATACTGTGGCCGCTAAAAGCGACTGCAGACAGGAAACGCATTGTTGTCACCATGGTGCCACTTTGGTCTCCCATGTACAACTTGGTGGTAAGCACAAGAACATTACTGCAAGTGTTCACTAGTTTGTGCCAATTTTGTCCCATAAATACAAAGTTGATGCAGTAATCCACAGGCTATGTTCTTGATGCACCTTTGCATGCAGGGCACATGAAGCAAGAAGTCATCTGATGTTGTTTCAAACTGCTTTGGAGCTGACAAAATAGTATTAGCCTAGCACTTTGACAAAATGATGTGTGCTGTATGGAGGAAGGGTGGATTAGTGAGAGATCAATATTCCAAGTTAAGGGGGAACGTGGCACGGAAAACTATTTTTGCTACACAAGTTGATAAAGTGATGAAATTTGGCATTCAGATGCGATTTGTTATGATAATATCATAACTGAAATCAGTTTGAAGCAATCTGATAGTTTTTAAGCTAAAACACTGGATGGATTGCCATTGTTACCCTAAAAATAGAGAATAAATTAGACATCAGCTCATCATACCTTTTGCACGAGACCCCATTTCGTGCTATAAAGCTACAGGTTTATTTTTTAATCACCCGTACATATCCTCTTAGAAGCAACTTTTACAAAAAGCCAATTATAACAACCTGCATGATAAACAGCCAAATATGGACAGCTTTGGGCACTTACCAATGTCTCAGGATGCATGTACAAAAAAAAAAGAAACACAATGGTTATATTTTTACTTGTTGTGAAATGACACAAGGATGATAGTAACTGCACAGAAAATAAAAACTGAGAAAACAAAACTAAAAAAATAATAATATCAACACTAAGAAAACAAAAATCAGAAGGAAGCTGGTTTAATTTTTCACTGAAAATATGAACCATTGTGGCAACTATGTGCTCTGATCTTTCCTCTTTATGATGATGCTGAGATGATGGCACTGTGCTGAGAGAAAGCTGCAAGACTTGCATTTTCTAATGCCCAATTTTTTTATAGTTTTTGACCACATTGCACTTGCAAAGGGTTTTTTTTTCTTCACTTGTATGGCTTATTCTGTTGTAATATTGCCCCATGTTATAAAATATGATCTGATGATTGAAAAAAAAAGAGAGAGAGAGAAATTGAAAATTTTGACCAGATTTACCATTCTCGTTGCCATGTCCCCCTTAAAACGCACACTGAGAGCCAAGTTTTTTAGTGTGCGTGTGTGTGTATGTGTGTCTATGTTAAAGGTTAAAGTGACAATATTCTGCAGACAAATCAGAGGAGTGGTGCGGAATGACGAAAGGGAGAACATATCATATTGCTCAAGCAGAAAATTCCACTTTTAACATCACAGTTGCTTTAGGTTTGATGCCCTTATAGTGTACATGTACGTGAAAACTAAGGCATGTGTGCTCCACAGGTATAGGGCAAGTCCTACTGCCGTGTATAGCAGGTGCGAAGGAAAGTGATGACATTAGAGGGAGTGGCCAGATTGGAAAAACGTGATAGCGGTGGAAAAGGAGGTTGGAGCCTGTAGTGCAAGAAAGTAAAGTGTAGTGAAATGAAGAGGGCTGAGACGAGGACTCTGGAAGGAGGAAGGAGGCAAGTATTAAAAGGAGGTGCTACTCGAAGGCACTTTTTCTTTTATATTCACCCTAGAGCAATGCAACTTGAGCTGTTTATGGAACTTTTTACGCTGATTTCAAATATATAATTAGTTTTCTTGAACGTTACACACTTTTAGCTCTGCAACATGACAAAGTGAAAACCTTAACCCTTTTGCCCCCCCCCCCCCTCTTTTCATCACCAAAATTCTGTAATTTTTTATCATTCATAGTTCATAATGCTTCAAATAAAGTGTAGAGTGCAAATAACTAATTAGGAAGCACATACAAAGTATGTAATATGCGTGAAAAATAACAGATGTAAAAAGTCCATATTTCACCTACCCTAATAAAGGTATACATACAATTTTTTATTATACAATAAGATATTAAAATTTAAACTAGATAATTGCATTTGTCATACTTTGGAAAAAATTTGGGCGAAATTTCATGCAGATCCGAGCACTAGAAGTGCCCGAAAAAGGAGGGGCACATTGGAAAAAATGGCAAAATTTGTGTTTTGAGAAAAACGAGTTTTAAAGTTAAAATTGAGTTTTCATTTATAAAAGATATCATTAAATCAGATTAAATTTGCACACCAAAGAGAACAATCCTTCTTGTAGTGGCCACTGCGACTAAAATACGCCAGCACCATGAGTTTGTCCCTCTCTGCTTTTCCGAGCACACTCCTCACAGACATTTCGCTCACTGACAAAGCCACAAAACGCTTGCCAAACTTCCGCTCCATCTGGCAGAGCTTTGTGCCAACTGCAAGCTACTAAGAAGTTCGACTGAACTGCGTAATCCAAACTAACTCCTGTGTCATGCCATTTTGCAGCCATGTTTGTGCCACATACCGTCGTACATAATGGCAATGTCGTCCCTGCTAAGTTCTCTCACTGCGAGCTTTCGAGCTCTTTCGACCTCTCAAGATTGGCGCTGATGTCATCCATTGCCGCATCACGAACTTTCCAGCTGACGGGTGTGAATGACTTGGATGCATTGGCTTTTGCAAGCCAACAACTGCCGCAAATCGGAACAGCTGCTTGTAGCCTACAGAGCGCGCCGCACAACGGCTTTCACTTGCGAGCAATGTCTTTTTTCATTCATAACGGAGATAATTACACGAGAAAAGCATTGTTCAGCTGTGCTGCTCGATAAGACATGGACCCCGCAAACAGGTTTCACAGCACATACAGGCCCACAACGGCCAATGGCGGTCCCCGATTCGTACCATGTGATAAGCCTGTCGCGGCGGTCAAAAAACGCGCAGAAGAGCGATTCTTTTTATTATTTCTTGCGCTGCATCAGCGAGAGAAACTGGTGTTATTTGAAGAGTGAGGCTCGACTCTTTGACTCATGCGATCAACAATGGCTAGCGGCAGCGCATTATCGGCGGCAAGGTGCTCGAAGACCGCACACTTTCTACTTTTTAACAGGCACCTTGTGCTCTTTAGATGAAATTTTAAAGCATTTACAGTTAAGTCTCGACCTGTATTATTTTTTTCATAACAGTAGATGTACTAATCTTATCAAAACAGGCGAAAATAAAAAATCGGTAATTTTGAAAAAAACTCACATTTTTCGACCCGCATCTTCCCTTAAGAGAAAATTCCACTTGGCAAAGCAGAGAAGAGGGAGGAAAAGAGGGGTAGAGATGAGAAGTTGGGAGGAAGAGAATTAAATAAAACAATAAAATTTCAAGGTGCCCAGGGTCCGAAGGTCAGTGTCGTAACCACTTGGCTATCCAGGCGCAGTAGTCGAACAAGCATTTATGCGAACCATATTGTTACGAGAAGATTGCGATTTGCCAATAGTCCGAGTGAAGATTTATGAACGAAAAGAATCCTGGAGGCATGAAGCTAATCAAGGGTGTTGTCTATTTATGCAAAAGGTACATGTCCTTGACAATAGTAAGAGCGCGAGAACAAAACGATGACACAGAGACAAGAAGGACACGAAGGACACGTGTCCTTCTTGTCTCTGTGTCGTCGTTTTGTTCTCGTGCTATAACTATCGTCATGCCATACCAACTAGCCCAAGCTGCTACACTTCTAAGGTACATGTCCTTGTTCGTGATCTTATTGAGGTGCCAATAGTCCACGTATAATCACCAGGTGTTGTCTTTCTTCTTTACAAGAACCATAGGTGAATCCAAGGACTCGAAGATGCTAGATAATGACGTCAGTGAGCATCTTGTCGACTTCTGTTTAAATGACTGTGTGCTTGGTCACAGGGACACGGTAAGAACATCAATGACTGGGTCTTGCATTCCTGGTATCAATATGATAGGTTACCAGAGATGTTTCGGCCAAGTTGGGGACAAGGCGAAATTGAAAACATCACAATATGATGCCAACAAAAAACTTGAGGGAAGGAGAATAGTCCGAGGATATTATGCCGTCAAACGGGTCATCAAGTGTTGCACTAGCAGCAGGGCTTCTGGAGCCAGCTGTGGTGCACCAATAGACAATTCAACAGGGTTGCGTGCGTCTGAAAGTGGTATATTGCCCAGTGTCATATCTTCAGGAAGTAATTGTAACAACCAAAGTTCAGTACAGGTAGGCATGCATGGTTCACAGAAACATTCTCAAGAGCACACAGAAGTGCACAGTCACAAGGCAGCGCTACAGTTCGCACCAGAAGAATTTCCAAGGAAGGGATAAGCAGGTAGGTGCCATCACGTACCGGTAGATCTGAGGTAAATGAGACGTACTCTCGGCAGCAAAAGTTTGCAGAATCAGCAGCGCAAGGTGGAGTGACTAAAAACTGCATCACTGCATCGTCTACCGTGACAAGACTGGTGCTGAGGACATCGGCTGTGGCCTCCGCTATAAAAGCCAACAACGGCCCGCTGTCTAAACGCACCATCGCTAATCGCTGCGGCCAATAGCATCAACATCCACCGCGTCATGATAGGCAACGCAGCGATGCAGTTTTTTGTTGCTCTACCATGCACTACAGATCCCACAAGCTTTTTTTCTGCCGACAGCACATCACCTTACCTGGGCCCAAGCAAACAAACCGGACTACACATAAATATGGAGGCAACGCAATGGTAAGGTCAGCTCCCTCCCCCACCCCCATATTGGAAGCTCTTACTCTAAAAGCCCAGAAGCACAGTTGATAAGGGCAGAATACGTGCTTAGAAATTCCTCGCTGAGGATGAGGTGATGAGGGGCAATCGTTCAGAACAGCAAAGAGAACCGAGATCTCATGGTCATCGAATCTCACCCACGCAGTAAACTTTTTAAGAATGCAAGATGTACTGCCATTAACTACAGGAACAAGAAACGATGAGGCAAGCATAACGACCTAGCGAATGCAGCAAAAAAGGTTAGCACTTGTGACTGATAATTAGGTGCCAGTGTCTCTGAGCACCGAAACAGGCACACCATCTACTTCTTCTACTTCTACATCTAAAAGGTTCTATCTGGTAGCCTGATTCAACAGAGGATTTCCGGTTCGATAGGCCAATACAGCAACCCCTCCGGATGCTGCACTGGTCAGTTTTCCGAGGAAGGATGACGAGAGTATGCGAAGGTGAGTGACGTGGTAAAAGGTAACAGAGAACGTAGCTGGCTTTGCGGGGATGGCAAGCGGTTGTAACGTGAGGTCGAGGTTTAGGCATTAGGGTTTGATGGGTCTTCATGGCCGTGAAAAGGTGAGCATTAAAATGTCCTCTGCACGGTACAGTGTACGAGGAGACGATGGCCAACGATGGTGAAAATAGTGAGAAATGTAGCCTACCCTGTTGCAGTTGAAGCATACTGGCCTGTCATCACGTGTGCACCACTGGTTCAGATCACGGTCTCTGGAATAGGTCGATAATGGGTGGTAGAATGGAAAAGGGCTGACCGCAGGACGACTTAGGGCACATAAGGGATGGATACCTGCGTTCGCCAGTTCTTCACGCATGACAGCCTGTATCAATGACGCTGTCGAGCAGGTGTCCTCGCAATTCCAAGCCTGCAGAGCAAATGAGGATACTGCCTCGATTTCTTGCCGTACAAGGCGCAGGAAGTTTTCAGTACTGGGTGATCGTTGCAGCTTGGCATCCTCGCACGACGACGTGGTGGTGGCGGTGTTAGGGAGCCAGACAAAGAGCCCCACAACTTGATGGCTCTTCGCTTCTTCAAAGCATTGGCACTCCCTTATGATGTCGTCAATGGTGAAGCAGTCCTTTTAAACTACTCTGCCAGCTTCGGGCATGTGGTCGTCAACTTGCCGGCACATGGCAAAGACATTTTGAATGTACACCACGTACGGCTTTGTCAAGGTTTGTGCAAGGCATGAGATTTCTTTTTAGGCAACTTGGTGTGCAATAGACTTTGCAAAAAGGTCTTTCGTTTTTTTTTTTTTTTCGCATACATCCCCAATGGTCAGATCTTTCTCATGCATGTTGAACGAAACACTTGCCATCACTGTGAAGAGTAGTAGCTGACGTTAGCCAGCATGAAAGTTGGTCTTGCTGGCATGCTCAAAGTCGGCCAGCCACTTTACATTATGCATTTTATCAATGCCTCAGGAAGTGCCAGGGTCTTGCAGATGGGTTACAACAATGTGGCTGGGTTCAGTTGGCATAGTGGGGGCTGGATAAACAGGCCTGCGCGTCGACATCATGGATTGCCCAAAAATACGTCTCAGTTCCGTGGTTTGTTTCAGACATACCCAGCACCTCGACCAAAGATTTTATGCAGAGAAGACAGAAGAAGGATGTATTTACAATATGTATACAATCAAAGTGATTAGGGCAACAACAGCCAAGATGGCAAAACAAGAGACAACCAGTCTTCTTCTTTGTCTTCTAGGTAAGCAGCACATTACAATCAGTATGATTATGTTGCTATGGGCGAGGAAACAAGGAAAACAGAGAGCAAGAGAAATAGAGAAGACAAAAAATAAAGATAAAGAATATCGTAGAGAGAGAGAGAGTGTGAGTGTGTGCGTGCGTGTGTGTGTGTGTGTGGATGACATATCTGCTCTGGCACCCTCAGTTAAATTAGGAAAAATTGTATGACCACGTCGTGGCCCTTTCAATATCATCATGCTAATTGAACCAATGAAAAACATGCATGTTTGCACAAATTCTCATTCATATGAGCATGAGGCTTACCCTCCTAGCAAACTAAAATAATCAAGGTGGCCCATTATTCACAGCAATTTCTCTCAGAAGTCATCCATCAAAAGCGACACAATTGCATATTTATTCGTTCCTGTGCATTATTACTGTTATTACATTGATAATTGCATGCTACTTCTCAGCAAAATGCTTCATTCAAACAGCAAAAGAGTGTGAGTGCCGAGTTTACTTATCACTAAACTAACATAAGCTCTGTTGTGCCTTTCTAATGAAAGTATGTATTGAGGTCTAATATCGTCTAAATTTGAATGGAGGTATGTTTCCAAATTATAACATGCTTACTTTACAGACAAACTAGAAAGCCTGAATGACTAGTTAAAAACTTGCCCTCATGGGTCACACGTATTCCAAAAAAATGTAAAACCACTGAAGAAATCTAGCAGCTTCAATAAAATCCTGTGTACATTACTGAAGAAAATAATGTAAAAGGCAAATATTTCACTATACTTGCAAGGCAAATGACATTTTGGTGACAGTTTGTAAGCTCTCTCCATATGTTTAGCATGACAGTAAATTTTAAATGCCCTTGTCTGTTCGAAACACAATGTGTTCTAAGCATAAACAAACAACAAAAATATGCAGTACAAAATCGTGACTATGTCTACGTTCTTGGTGTTATGGCCTGCTGTCAGCATATGTCATGAGTGAAACATTCCAGAAGCACACACACAAAGTGCCATGCCTGCACAGCACAGAAGGTCCTAAAAAGCATAATGTATGTCCAGGGATGATTTGCACTTGCGCTCAATACAGTTTGTTCCCAGAGTGACGCAGAACACTTGTTAGCCAAGCAGCGGCAGAATGTGAATCCCAGTTACTGGCACCACTGCATCAAAAATGTTACACAGCTTAGTGAAAAAGGCTGGGAACATTCACTAGAATGTGAGATGCAGGCGACATTGTCACGAGCCGTGCCCAAACAAAAAATAAGAGTTGACACTGCCTGAGAAACCAGCCCCAGCAGCATCATTTAGGCAATCTCCATCACTGGTGGCATCACCCACAGAATGAGAGAGGGGCAAGTTGACAGGAAAAGAACTGGACTGCTTTAGAGGCCATGTGGAGGTCTTCACAGCTCTTGTATCCAGCTGCAAAAAGCATAATATGGCACCACATGATTGCTTTGCAAGTATAATATTAATACTGTGGAAACTAAAAACACTTTGCCTCATTTTGCTACATGTAGCCACTGAAGTGTTGCGTTTGCTTTCCATTGAGACCAACAATGTGCAGTACTATGATATTAGAAGAGGAGAAATACTGGATACTCTGCAATCCACTTTTTATGATACTGACAAAGCAGAATAATTCCATCATTATAAATGATTATCGTTATATCTGAACTGGCAGAAAAAAAAAAGAAACAGAAAGAAAGAACACACCTGTTTCCCCGTGCATGTAGGCCTAGTTACTCACCAACAATAAGTGAATCAATTCAAAGTCACGGTAAAGAACATCTAAACACTTTATTAAAGCCTAGGTAACTAACTATCAAGTTACTTATGCAAACTGAAACAAGAAAAAAATTTGCAAAAAAATAAAGTTGTAATTCTTGAGATATAAAACCTTGAGGACAGTTGAAACTGTCGTCTCTGAAAGCTCATATATTTTTACAAGGCTCCAAACCTACAGAAGCTACCAGAAATTTCTCCTGCATTTGCTGCTTCACCTCAAGAGATAATGCTTTGAGCTTAGTTTGCACCATCTTTCGTGAGCACACGAACAAGTGGAACCTTCAGTTAAAAACCGTTGCCTGAAATTGCGTGGCTGTGACAAAGCAAGCTATTTCCCTCCTTTCTACCATGACTGAAAAATTACAATAGTGCTACATAGCCGCACGTAACGCTCTTCATAGATTTCTTCACAATGGCTTATTTACGGCTCTAGGAACTAGTTTGCATGCCATTCTCTTCAGAATAGTTTATTTTAATCCACATTAGGAAAAATTTTGGTAGTAAGCACTTTCCGGGTAGCTCTAATTCTACTGTTGCATCTAACATATTTGCGATATTTCTAATATAGTTTGCTTTTAGGTGGAAGCAATGAAAAAATAGAGAACTCTGAGGAATTTGATCATTATAAGGAATATATCATTTCCTATGGAATCGTTACAAGTGGATGCTCCACAATTTAGCTCTTTGCTGTCTCTGGATGCTCACTCAGTATAATGCATAAAACATTGGACATTTATGCCGACTGGTGTATGCTATTGCACAAAGCCTTTTCAGAATCAGTCGCTGGTTTCACCCCTTCAAGCCTACTGCAAAGCACTACCTTCCTTTGTGGTGATTAAAATGTAACACGCGAAGGCAAGGGAGCACACCAGAAGTGAGCTGTTACTGTTAGCGTGTGTTATAACATCTTCCATCTACTTCAAACAACATGCCACTTGGTGCAACTACAAACACATTAATTATTTACTATAACGAACTACTATATGGTTGCTATAATGAACCACTACTTACAGAGGCTTTACAACACCTTTACTTTGTACCTAACAACATTATAATATTCTTCTAAAAACAAAATAATGCCTAATAATAATAATGAAGTCTGCAATGTGCACAGAAGTATTAACTTCTCCCATTCCCCACTAAGTGGAAATTTGTACTAACCTGCAAAACACACAATTTAAAATCTTTCAGGTACACTCTGAGTTCGTGTTTCTGAATTCCGTTCAGTTCCAAATGAGAGTGCAAAAAATAACTGCTCAAACGGATTCACAGGCTTCCCAACAAGTTCATATGGGTAAAAAAAAAAACAAAGAACCACCCGGCATTTGAAATCTTGTAAAAGCACTACCCAGAATAACAAGCTTTAGAAGCTGTCAGCATTTCAACTTTATGCCTTCAAACTGTGTTCTCTTCACCTGGTATCAAAGTGCACTCATAAGACTTGTCATGCACATGATGTGTTGAACATATGTTAAATCATGTTTCTCAAGTGATAGCTTGATTTTGTTTGCTATGGGAAAAGAAGAGACCCTTGGTCTGCAAATTTAACTTTGTGGCATGTGGCAAATAAGGCTAGAAGAATACACACTTCCACTACACACAGCAACAAGGGAGTTTAAGTGTTGCCCTACAAGACAACAAATTGATGATGCTTGATGCTGTCGGTGCTCTAGGCACAAACACGAGGCAAAATGCATCACGTGTGGCTGGAGAATCGAACCTGGGCCCTTGAGATTACCAGCACAACAGTGCACTAGCTGCTAAGCTATCACAGTAATTAGGGGTGTGATGGTGCAGTTATTTAAAGACACATAGTACCGAATGCTTTCTTCCTCTGGGGAATATCCTACATCTCTTCTTCTGTCTTGTATTTTGCTTGTGCAGTGCATAGTGCTTGTATGCTTATTCAACCCCCTTGTAAGCATTGCTGCAATTAAATATGCATGCGGTGCCTTCTTCATTATGCAGTTTATGTTCCATTTTCAGTGAGAGCACTACAGTCAAACCCACTTATGACGATACTAGTTTTATCAACATATTGGTGATGACAATGAGAAGCTGCTCCATTGTCAACTTCTGTATATTTTCTATAGTGAAACAACCCACATGCCGCATAGCAATTATGACAATGAATACTGGCCGTTGGTTGTCAGTGCCAGAATTTAATGAAACACGAAATCCTTGAAAATAAAGAAGAAAATGAGACATTCAAACTGCTGAGCTCCCGCCCACAATTTCAATGTTGCCCCATGCCCCTTTAGATTTGCAGTATGTTTACCACATAGCATTGCGGCATTGCGACAAAGCTAACTTTTGAAATCCACTACAGTGCGGGAGCGGTGGTGGCTTCTGTTAATACACTTTGAGAGTATACATAATTTCTGTTAATACACAATTAGAGTTGAAGGTCGAAGCTTGGAAGAGGTTTGTCGTGTGAAGCTTCAGACGTCATACATTGACATTATGGGGCTAGTGGTGGTCCCGTGAAAGCATCTGAATTATTGAGCACATCCAAAAAATCAGCAGCTTTGTCATCCTTGTCACTGATGTCTGCTGGCATATTCTATCTGACATCATAGTTTCCTTACAACAGCCTACCCTCCCCCTAATGCCCCGCCACGGTGGTCTAGTGGCTAAGGTACTTTGCTGCTGACCCGCAGGTCGCGGGTTCAAATCCCGGCTGCGGCGGCTGCATTTCCGATGGAGGCGGAAATGTTGTAGGCCCACGTTCTCATATTTGTGTGCACGTTAAAGAACCCCAGGAGGTCGAAATTTCCGGAGCCCTCCACTACGGCGTTTCTCATAATCATATGGTGGTTTTGGAACGTTAAACCCCACATATAAATCATAGGGGGTGCTTTGGAAGCCACGCGCAGCGCGATTCGTGGTGCAGCGGGTGCGCAATGTTGAGAATCGTATACACTCCATGCGGGACCTATAGGGGGCGCCTTGAAAGGCACGCGCAGCGCCACTTGTGGTGTGGCGGGCGCACAACGTTGAGAGTCGTAGCAGACAGCAGCGCCTAATTGCTTTGAAAGCTACGGTGGCACAAGCGCCCGTGGCCAGCGGGTTAGTGCATGTTTCGAGCAGAATTTAAAGATATCGCAGGGGGACAATCTTCCGCGATGTCACCATGAATAAATAGAAAAACCTTCACGAAAGCGGCCACGTTTCTTTGCGTTAGTGACTGCTTTGCTGCCCGTCACCAGGAATGACGGCTAAACGCATGTGTCAAGTGTGCGGAATGCATGAGGCTTGCTGCATAACTATCGCGGCAAGCTGTCATTCTTTCGAACTTAGATTATAATCGGTGCTTGCCCACTGCCCGCGTACTTGAAAAATACTCAGAGTGTTTAGAAATATCGATAGCTTCACGGCCACTCGCCGGGGAAACTGGCGTACTCGCTTGTTGCGGCATCGTGCCACGGCGATTTTCAGCCACCGAGTCTCGCAAAGTGCGTTGCATGAAATTGTCGTGGTATCATCATCGTTCATCATGATCACAGTCTTTATCTCACCGCTCGCGCAGCTCATGCTAAAAGCTTGAGGCGCAGGCGAGAGACAGAACGCGAGAAGATTTAGTTCAGAGAGAACGGCGCATGCTCCTTTCCGTCTTTCGCTTCACCTTGTAGAGTGCTGACGACAATGGCACGATCACTTCGGCCACCGTCACGTGTCTCTCATTCACTATAACCTCTTGCATTGTTTATGTTGCTTTTCGAAACAAACACCGACATGCACATCCATCGCTACAGCATTCGCAAAGGATCGTTTCTTACCATGTATAGTTCTGCTATACTCTATGCCCTGCATCATTTCTTTCTAACATGCAGATTGTTTAAGAGTCAAAGAAAAAGGCTTTTGAATGAACCAAATCCGAAAGATGGGATTTGATTAATTACTTCCGGCGGTTCTTTCCTTTAGAGCTACAGCACTTGGTTTTAGACACAGTAGCGTTTGGGATGTCATATGCGATTTGCTATGCGAGACGAAACGAATTGAATTGCAAGGTTATATAAGTGAAACTTATTCTTCAACCACATTACACTTTTTTTTCGTGAATTAAGCTTATTAAATATTTAGAAAATGATCTATTGCTAAAGCTTTTGAGATTTATAAACAAAATCATTTATATAACAAGGCACCGTCTATTTGATGGCCGATCCCCCATGGTGCCTTGCGCCAGTTTAATAAGGACCAACGAACCAACGTACTAGTTTGATTTTATCGAGTGCACCTACGCTGCTGGGTGACTACTTGTATTTATGGTAAAATGCTACGTAATTCAGTTCGCCCCTTCTCTGATGGACCCATCAACTCGGGAAAGCACTATTTGACCTCGCATTGCATTCCTCAAAACTGCGAACGGTACACGGCAAGGTAGTAATTATTAAGGTCCCTTAAGACGTTCCATAAGCCTTGATTTGAAATAAAAATTCTTGCATGTATTTCTTTGCTTATCAGTTCTATGGCAGCAAGAACATGACTCAAAATCATCACACCTGCAGAGGGTGTCTCGGACCAATTCAAGCATGCATCGGCAGAATGCGAGACGGCAGAGGAAATGGAAACTGAACACTTTTTTCCACGGGACTCGATGGATTCTTAGGGATGGCTTTCAGCTCTCCCATAGT